AGCGTAATCTTTCTTTCCCTAGCTGTTAAGTGCTTGGTCTACTATCTCGTCAACACACGCACGTACTAACCACAGCGTTATCTTTCTATACCTAGCTGTTAAGTGCCTGGTCTACTATCTGTTCAACACCCGTACGTAGTTACCACAGCGTATCTTATGTGTTCATAACTATCTGGTGCTTGATAGTTTTCCATTCCCACAGCACGCGCGCGATGTATTTACAGCGTAGTCTATTACCATGGTGTGTGAATATAGACGATCAATTTGAAGCTATCACAAAATATCAATGTATTTCTATTCACTTTTGATAAGATATGTGGGCAATGTCGGAGTACTTGCAGCAGCACGTAGTCAGTATTATCAGCCGGACATCAATTAGAAAGTGCGCATTGTCCAGTATTACATCAACAAAACATATTTACCGGTCTGAAATGAAAGTAGCATGCCATTTATCTGGGCTGTAGTACCACCACATTATATCCTATCAATCAATTATCTATGGCAATGTCACGTATATTTCTTTGTCTGCGCTTTAGTATCATCTCAACGTAACTTATCTACCAGTCTGAAATGAATGTGGCATGCCATTTGTCTGGGATTTAGTACCGCCACATTATATCCTATCAATTAATTAACTATGGCAATGTCACGTATACTTCTTTGTCTGCGCTTTAGTATCATCTCAGCGTAACTTATCTGCCAGTCTGAAATGAATATATCATGTGTCATATGTCTCCCGTGTTAGTATCACCTCAACATAACTTATCTGCCAGTCTGAAATGAATATATCATGTGTCATGTGTCTCCCGTGTTAGTATCATCTCAACATAACTTATCTGCCAGTCTGAATATATCATGTGTCATGTGTCTCCCGTGTTAGTATCATCTCAACATAACTTATCTGCCAGTCTGAAATGAATATATCATGTGTCTCCCGTGTTAGTATCATCTCAACATAACTTATCTGCCAGTCTGCAATGAATATATCATGTGTCATGTGTCTCCCGTGTTAGTATCATCTCAACATAACTTATCTGCCAGTCTGAAATGAATACATAATAAGTGTTCTTCGTCTGGGTATTAGTATCACGACATCAGAGTATGCTATCAGTTAAGTACCAGAGCAGCATGTGGTCACTGCCTGGGTGTTATGACTATCTCAACATAAGTTATCCATCATTCAAACAAGCGCTTTAGGGGTTTAGCGGCATAGAGTTTTAGGGTTTCAGGGTTTAGACTACCAGTTTTATCGTGTTCATTGTTTGGGTTCGGGTGTTTGTATCACCCCGTCATAACTAATTTATTGGTTGTCTGTACTAAGTCTAAATTATACCTCCGATCCGCCCCCCATGTCCCCAAAGAGATCCGGACATATAGATACAATAACATTACTAATCTTTCCTCAAGGCCCGTTGAGTGGGTTGTAGTTGCGCGGTCTGTACGGCTGAGGCACCCACCCCGTCGTCGGGGCTGATTTGACACTCGCACTCGCATTGGAATTCATATCCGGCCCTTTCCCCCTGGCATCCGGTCGACTACCTTGCCCGTTTGCATATCCATACCCACCAATAGCCGGCTTAACATTGCTGATACCCCCCCCAGTACCTGCACCTGCACCTGTGTTGAGTGGTTTGTAGGGCCGGGGTGCACCTGGGCCATACCGATTGGGTTGCTGCTGCTGTTGTAAGCGGCGTCGATCCAACCCCTGGTGCTGTTGGTTGGGCTTGGATGGCCCACGCAACCTTTGACCGGGGTTTATCGGCCGCTGAACTTGGTTTATTTGCCCGACGTTGCTATGCATTGGACGGTATGGATGTCCAACACCTCCTGGTCGATTCTGGAGAAATACGATACAATATAGCACGGTGCATGTCAGATATACGTAGAACATGGTAGCAAGGCACAGACCTATGTACACACACGCATATGCGTGTACGTATATATGTAATATATACACCCAAGTATATATAAATGCAAAACACGAACATGTACGCAAGGCTTTTACACAAAAGATTCACTGCTTCTACTACTTGGCTTGAGGATACGGAAGAAATACTACACCCAACATACAAACTCTCGAGGCCCTACACCCGGCATACCTGGTGTGGGTTATTTGGCCTGTTTCGATTGTGCTCATACACTTCCACCTCTCCAGTCATTTTGTTCACTGTGGAATAGGATAGAACGATAACCGTTAGCCTATGACATTCACAATGATGCAAGTACACGATACAGCCTAGGCAGTGTCGAGCACTAGACCAGTTTGCAAGACCCCCCCCCCCTCCCCCTTGGCTCTCTCGCTTGCAGTGTATGTATGAACTTTTCAATGCGACATTCACGCGTGTATCGCATAACTTACAGGCGCACAGCCATAGAACGAGGATACAATATTCACACACACACACACACATATATATATATACACACATACACAAACACAAACACAAACAGACAGAGACAGTGGTAATCTCATACCCAAAACACCGCCCAGGGGATAAGTCGAGCGGATCTTGATGGGTATTTTAATCGGCGGGAATTGTGTGGGGTGGTTCTGTTTGTCGATGCCCACTCGCAACTCATGGCTAGAGGCTACATCGTGTAGGCCCATTCTGCAGAAGAAACAGGTGCAGGACAATTTATTCAGGTACACTTACATGGGATGATTGAATTCAGGATATATATATATATATATAAACAATAGATGTATAGATTTATATATACATATACATATATAAATATATATATCTATATATATATATACCTACATCTACATCTATATATATATATGTAGATATAGATATGGTTATAGTGAGATAGAATTATATATATATCTATATATATGCATATATATACCTATGCCAATACCTACGCCAACAACACAACAACACCAACACGCACATACTCTTCAGGCTCCAAGGGGTTAGGATCCGTCCAGAAGAATATATGGTCTAAAGCATCACTCGCCGACAGACGTTTCCTCGGGTCTAGGCACAATAACCCCTCCATGATATGCACAAACGGTTCCATTCGGCCTGGTTCCATCTTCTCGTTCTTTCTGGGCTGCGTGACGTCAGTGTCTTGTTTGAGTTTGCGTAACTCCTGCCACAGCATGGACGGGTACTGCACCCAGTTCTTGCAGGTGTGTTGGAAGACTTCGAGTTCGGTCCCGCCCTGAAGTTGAATAGGGTTTAGAGGGTTAGGGGTTAGGGGTTAGGGGTTAGAAGTAGAATAGAAAGGGTCTTTAGAAGGCAGTTCTCACTATACAGGTGATCATAACGAGGGATTCATGCGTGTTTTATAAGATAGCCTGTCGAGATGGAATCAGTAGTATGTGCTACAGAGTAGCCGATACGGGACTACTCATCCCACAGCACCGCACCATTTAATATATATATATATATATAAATACACACACACACACACAAA